TGTGAAATTGATCCTTTGCTTTGCAGTAACACTGATTACTGTGATGGCCAGTAGTCATTCTATCAGTATCTAGTTGGGTTTCTTACCACTGATCTTCCAACTCTGCTGTAAAACTAAAGAATAAGATCTAAAAACTGTAAAAGAGCTCCGTGTGCAGGGTTGGGCTGAAAATAGGAGTGTTTGAAAGCCTTTGCTTCAGTTACTGCTGCATGACCAAGTACCCCGAAACTTAGTGTCTTGCAACAACTATTTTATTTACTCAGAATTCTGTGAGTTAGGTAGGGCCCCACTGGGAGGTTCTTCTGCTGTTCTTGCTTGGAGTCTGTGCAGCTGCAGTCAGATAGCAGGTGGAACTGAAACATCCAGGATTGCTCTTCTCATGTGACTGGTGCTTCAGCAAGCATGGCTGGGAGCTGTGACCTCTCCCCACATGGCAGATGGAGAACACTCAGAAGGTAGCATTCCAAGAGGGCATCTGTCACACTCAGCAACATCTTGTTGTGAAACCCAGTCACTGTGGGAGGGGCCAAACCTAGGAGCAAGTGCTGGGATACACAGTTCATTGCGGGCACCAGAGTAACTGCGTTTCCTCTGACAGTTACTTTCTGGAGAGATTAAGTATACAGGTTCTGGACTTTGGGATACCAGGCACCCCTGCGGGAAAGCATGAGACACCATAATGAAAATTGGGGACTGATTCCCCCTTCCCTTTCTGCTGCCTGGCTGACAAATAGGTTTATATTCCAAAGATAGAAGTTGGAGGAGTGGCCGGGTGCAGTGGCTCACACTGGTAATCCCAGCACTTTGTGAGGCTGAAGCAGGTGGATTACGAGGTCAGGAGTTCAAGACCAGCCTGGTCAACATAGTGAACCCCATGTCTCCTACAAATACAAAAATTAGCTGGGTGTGGTGGCGGGTGCCTGTAATCCCAGCTACTCAGGAGGCTGAGGCAGGAGAATCGCTTGAACCCGAGAGGTGGATGTTGCAGTGAGCCGAGATCACACCACTGCACTCAAGCCTGGGCAACAGAGCTAGACTCTGTCTCAAAATAAAAAAGTGTGGAGGATTTCTTGATGAGGAAGAAGTTGCTGTAAAGAAAGATTTGAGGGACGAGAGGATATCTTAAAAATTATAACCATGATAATAGAAGTAACTCAGAAGACCGTTTGGAAGACGGAAATCTTCCAAAAGGTGGAACAAAAGATGAATAAACAGGAGACAAAGGAAATGAGGGGACCCGTATAGGAAATTCGATAGCTAGCTATTAGGACGTGTGTCTCTAATACCAGCACACTTTTCCAGATGTGGAAACTGAGGCTTTGATAGGTAAATGATTTACGTAGGGTCATGTGGTTAACCCTAGGGTGAAATTGAGAACCAGACCTTTTTGACTCCATTGAGCTATGTGCAAATGGAGCAGGCAGTTAAGTGACACTGAGTAGTATCATGTAGGTTAGTAATCACACTGGCAGCACCTGTTTGGCATTTAGGGAACATCCAGTCTAAATGAACTCTCCGTAAAAGATAAGCCTGCAAGATGATTAGTATGGCACAACCTTTGAGTAGGGAAAGGAGAGATGAGGCAGAATGAGTCAGATTGCCCTTGTTTACTTTATACTTAATAGCGAAGGTCCAAGTTGAAAAGGATGGGAAGTATGGAGAAGGTGGAGACATACTGGAACTGTCATAGGGATGGGAAGTGATTGGAATTTCTCAGGGAACGAACAAGACTCTCGTGAAGTGACGTAATGGGACACCAGTTGCTCTGTTGGACCGGGGCTCAGTCTCCGTCGGTGTGTAACTCCACAGCCAGGAGCAGAGAGCGTAGCAGCGGCAAGGGCCCAGTGTTGGTCAGAGTGAGAAGGAGCCAGGCTGTGAAGTCCAGGGAGAATCCAGAAGGGTTCTGGTGGTATGCATCAGGTTATCTTCTTACTCCTGCAACCTCAAAATCAAGTCAGAGCAAAAGTTAAAGGCATTTTTGAAGTGATGAATCAAAAAACGAGATTGTAGAAAATTAAAGACTTAACGAAATCTAGAAATGCCACCAACATTTAAGTGAGTAAAGTGACGGGGACGCTGGGCGCCTCACATGTGTCATGTTAGTTTATCTTGCCGAATCTTGGGAAGGAAGTGGTGGCATTCTTGGGTTTGGAGAGAGGAAGTGGCACATATGCCCTTTGCTGTCCAGTGAATGTAACGGTGAGAATTCAGACCCAGGCCCGCTCGACTCCAAAGCCAAATACATTCCACTCAGTCCTCTTCTCAGAGAAATTAGAGTGATTATCATGTAAATCTCGGGAGGGCAGGGGTCCTCATAACCATTTGTTCACTGGGTGAGTGAATGAGCGAGTGAATAGTAAACTAGTGGCTGGCCGGCCGTGTATTCTGAAGGTTTCTCACTGAGCACGTCCTGAAACTTGCCAGTGTCTGTGTGTGGCTCACCACTTTGCAGCTTTGGAGTACATAATTTGGATTTCAGAGTGCTCTTAGGTTTGCAGAGTGTTTTTACATGTGTTGGATACTGGAAGAGGTGGGTATTACCCATTTTACAGTTAGGAAAAGCAATTTGTGAGTTCAGTGGTGGAGTGGTGGCATTTTTTTTCACCTATAGCTTGTGTTCCCTTAGAGTTGTTAGTAAGATGTAACTTAACCTTTCTTTGTTTTTAAAGATACTATAGGCTCTCAAAATATTATCGAATGGCCCTATGGATATGATATACTACTGAAATTTGATTATTAATATTTTCTGATGGTTTATATAATTAGGAAAGTGAATAAAAATTTCTCATTAAAGCTGTAAATTAACACTTTGGAACACCTGCCAGGAGACAACAAAGGGTGATGACAGCCTCTGCTGTGCCTCTCTGCTTCCCAGCTTGCTGTGATGGTGACCCAGGGTTCTCATGATTTTTTTTTTTTTTTTTTTAAAGATGGAGTCTTGCTGTGTCCCCCAGGCTGGAGTGCAGTGGTGCGACCTCAGGTCACTGCAACCTCCGCCTCCTGGGTTCAAACAATTCTCCTGCCTCAGCCTCCTAAGTAGCTGGGATTACAGGTGCCTGCCCACCATACCCAGCTAGTTTTTTGTATTTTTGGTTGAGACAGTGTTTTACTATGTTTGCCAGGCTAGTCCTTAACTCCTGACCTCAAGTGATCTGCCTGCCTTGACCTCCCAAAGTGCTGGGATTAAAGGCATGAGCCACTGCACCTGGACGATTTTTTAAAAATATATAAGATGCTACAGGTAGTTAAGAAAGTAACACAAAAATCTGGTTGGTAGAGCTTGCTTTTACACACAGAGTAAGTAGTAGGATTTTAGTTTATTTTGCTGTTTATACATGAAAGCAAAAAAAAAGTTTATATATGACAGCAAATATATCACATATATAGTATACATATTTACTCGTATATTAATAAATGTGTATATATGTAAATAATTTCTAAGGCAAAGCATGAAAAAATATGTAGTCACGAGGTTGTAATGACCATTCTGATTAAATAGGACCCCATGTTAGAGTACTGGATGACGTTTAATAAGCGATCCCTAGAGGTTCAGTGTTCTTCTGCATTGGAGACTAGCCCTAAGTTTAAAAACCTAGTGACATAGGCTTGCTGTACAGAACAGTATGCAGTGTGTCAGCTGACACTGGTGTTGGTTTCACGATCTGAAGGAAATGGAATATAATTGCCGTCCTTGTCACACCTTGAGCATTATGGTAAGCAGATGCTTTCTGGTGGAACTGTGTGTGGTTGAGCAGTGTTTATGACTAATATCTGCCATGGTTTTTAAGAGTCTTTTTAAAGGAAAGGGCAGCTCTTGTCTGGCCTATTTTTCTATCTTCCTTTTAAAAGCTATGGTATGATGTGGACAGAATGTAACTCTGGATGTTTATAATTAACTGTTTTCATTGTAATTTGTTTCTTGCTACTCAAACTGTGTAACTGGGGGATTTCTTATTTAGGATATCTTTAATATTTGTGCTGAGTCATTTTGAGTTAAGTGAATGGGGTAAAGTTCTATTTTTAGCCTGTAAAGGCCTAGTGAGGGCACTGGCTTAACAGAACTCTCTGTCATGTGCATCAGTTTGGGTTATGTCCACCAAAAAAGACTTGATTCCAGTTTAAATAGGACTTTGGTCACTGAATAAATCAGTGAGAAATTTGTTCACTTTTTGTCCATTGTAAAAAAAAAAAAAGTATTCCTGTGACAAATTGAGAATCTTGAAAGTTAAAGTCTACATAGGAGATTATTTGCCTGTGCCTTTTTTCAACATTGATTTTTCTTTAAAGGTTGACTCTTATTTTTACCCTCCCAATTCCAGACTCTTCTATGCACTCTCCTTAAATTTTGAACTCCCAGGCTTTGTATAGAAGTTGATAATCTGGTCCAGATGCTGAAAGGAAGACAAAGCTTTCACACTCGCAACATTGGCTTAGTTTTCTGGACTTTTGTTTTTCTTGCAATCATGAGTGTTCGTGTTTCTTTAAAACAGAAAAAAAAAATCGTCTTGTTTTTTTCAGAGTCTGAGCTCCTAGAGAACTAAGATGAAGTTTTGTAATTTTCCTTTAAGTCTGGTACAAGACCTTGCTCATATAAATATTTAGTACTCTTTTTGATGGGACTGACTTTTGGACATACGATGGACTTTAGACGCTTAAATCTGCCACGTGAACAAGATGACACACCTTTGGAAAACAAGCTATTCTGGGAAGCACATGAATATGTTCACATTTTATCACTGAGTTTTATTTAATATGCTTTATTAGTAACAAGCGTGTATACTAATTTGTATCTCCAAACCTATAATTTTTAATTATTTATTTAATTTTTAATTATCTCCAAACCTATAATTTTAATTTCTAGTATACATTTAAATATTGGTGATATATTTATTTTGGAATATGGATGATTTGTAAAACCTATGTATTAAAACAAAAATATACAGATACCTGCTTTTTACATACCTGACTGTAACCTAATGTGTCTTTTTGTTGTCATGCAGAGCTCTGGTATCGAGACTTTAGTGGAGGAGCTTTGCTCCAGACTGAAAGACCTTCAGAGTAAGCAAGGTGAGGTCAAAAGCACTGTGGGCACACATGCCAGGATTAGGTCCCTGAGGAATCTGGATTTGGGAAAATCTTAGAATTGATCAGAAGAAAAAACAACAAGAGCAAAGTGTTTGTGTTCAGTACGTGTCACTAGGCCAGCATCATGCTCCATCTGCAGCTCCGTTAGTGGCCTGTGTGAATCCCAGCAGTCACTCACAGTTTCCTGCGACCAAGGGAGGGACTTAGTCCACAGGGCTCCTCAGAGATAGGAAACACTTCGTGGGTTTTTGTTGTTTTTTTTTTTTTTTTTGTCTTCAAGTTGAAGCTCAGACATCAGGAACAATATTTTCTCTTTCCTTGCCTATTAATGTTAAGACCACTAAAGATGTTGACACGAATTACTTCAGGTTTGGAAAGGACTTAGTTTTGACTCAACTTTTTTGGAAACATAGACTTGGCAAGCTTATTTAGTCATTTTGATATATGAACCCTCCTCATACTTTCTCTAACTTTTCTGCAGTCCCTAAGAATGAGACCTTCATATTAAGAATAAGGATCTTTGTTTCCTTGCCCTCTTCATGGTCCTTTCGCTGCGCACCAAGCCTTGAGCCTGCCTCTTAAAGGGCACAGTTTATTTGTAAACGCAGGCAGTATCCTAGGCTAACCTAAAGGGATAGCCCTTTTTCCTATTTTAGTTGAAATAGCTCTTGCTCACCTGCATGTTAAGTAATAAAGCAAATTGTAATAAAGAATATTCTTTGCAGATTAGTTTTAGTCAAGATGCATCAATGTAAAGTCTACAAGTATAGAATTTTGTGGGAAAATTTTTTTGGAATCTAAACAGATGTTCTGTCCTTCTGGTCTAATTAATAAGTACACAGGGGACTTCAGTCTCTTAATTAAGTGCCTCTAGAGCACTGCATCAGTGACGAGATGAACAACTCTCACCTCTTGGCCTAATGCTAATGTGGTTTAATCAGATAATTCCCTCTGGCACACTGAAAAAATAGATTTTTATTAAAAAGACAGATTGGTATAGAGTCTGCCTTTTAAGCACGAGTATTCTTATTAAAATTAGTTGAGAAACTTTGAAAAAACATGGGCATTTATTAACTAGATATAAGACAAATTTCTCTGGCTTTTTGTTTCATAACAGAAGAGAAGATTCACAAAAAGTTAGAGGGGTCTCCCTCTCCAGAGGCAGAATTATCCCCTCCAGCAAAGGATCAAGTGGAAATGTATGTAAGATTGTATTCAGTAATAGTGTGCATTTGTTAAAATCAAATGAATAACTGCTACATAGTTTCCATTTTTTTTGTTTGTCATCTTGTTCAGTTTCATTGTGTATAATTTAAGAAACATTTATCCAGCGCTTATTTGCTTGACACTGAGAATTCAAAAGTGAGTAAGATGGTTCTGTCCTTGTTGTGCATATTCAGTAAATATTTGTGAAATGAATGAGTAAAACAAAGAAGGTTATTATTTGCTAAGTCTATGCATGTACAGCCCTCTGAGACAGCTGTAAGAAATTATGATTATCGGCCTGGTACAGTGGCTCATGCCTGTAATCTCAACACTTTGGGAGGCCAGGGTGGGTGGATCACCTGAGATCAGGAGTTTGAGACCAGCCTGGTCAACATGGTGAAACCCTGTCTCAAAAATACAAAAAGCCAAGCGTGGCGGTACATGCCTGTAATCCCAGCTACTTGGGAGGCTGAGGCAGGAGAATTGCTGGAGCCTGGGAGGCAGAGGTTGCAGTGAGCTGAGATCGTGTCATTGCTCTCCATTGTGGGTGACAGAATGAGACTTAAAAAAAAAAAGAAAAGAAAAAGAAATGATTATCCATGTTTGCAAGCAAGAACACTGAGTTCCCACTGTTTACTGCAAAGGGAACATAGGCAAATCCTTGACCTGCCAAAATCTGCTCTTAAAATAATCTGCATTACAAGTAGACTTCCTTATTACACATTTTATTTTAATTTTCTGAACCTCTGAAACCTAAGAAAAAACAGCATTTCATTGGTTTGCATAGACCTGTATCGTCCAGCACAGTAGCTGCAAGCCACGTTATGACTACTGAGCACTTGAAATGTGGCTGGCTCAAACTGTGATGTGCTGTCAGTGTAAATTCTCATTGGATTTCAAAGGCTTACTATAAAAAAGAATGTAAAGGATTAAACATTTTAAAATATTGATTACATGTTGAAATGACAATATCAGGAGTTAAATAAAATATTACTGGAGTGGACGTCACCCATTTCTTCTTATGTTTTTAATGTGACTGCTAGAACACTTAAAATTATATATGAAGCTCAAAATATATTTCCTTTGGTCGACTCTGACCTAGACTGAGAAAGAGAGTCAAGTTCAGGCCCTTGGAAAACATGGCCTTTTACCACTTCATTTGTGACCTTGAACATTGTCTCTGAAACAGCAGTCCCTTCCATAGCCAGTGTGAGCTTAAATTCTTCCTTTCGCAATCTGTTCTGCTCTGAAATCGTCAGTGGCTCCCAGTTGCCTAGAAAATCAAAACAGCTTTTTCGTTTTCAAGCTCACTGAAACCAGCCTCCCTGGTTTTCCTACCCTGCATTTCTAGTAATCACTGCTCTAATTAGTTTTCCATTCCATGAGCATAACGTGTGTCTTCATGTCCTCACACAGGGTCTCAGGCCTCACGAGTAGTACTCACCAAACTTGTGGAATTTTACTAAACTTGTGAAATAAGTCTGGAATTTCAAGGCTTAGTTGTGGCCCATTTTATCTCATTGTTCTAGGCCTCACCAGCATCCTCTTTTTGAGTACTTGAATATGATTATTCCTGCCATTTGTGAGGGCCTGCTTAAATGCCAGGCAGTATGCTAGCGGTTACTTAAGAAGGTGCTGTTCTGACTCATTTTGCACGCTAATTTTTTTTACTCTTCACAACTCTGTGAGGTAAATATTACTAGCTCTATTTTGTAGGTGATGGCACTGAGCTCTGGAGAGGTTCAGTCCCATGCCTAAGGCCACACAGCTAGGAAGTGGGCAGAGCCAGGCTTTGACCTCAGAGCACATGGCTTTAGAGCTCATACTGTTGACTGATTTGCTGTCGAGCTTTTCAACTGCGTATATTTTCAGTGCTCCCAACAACTTTGGGAGGTAAGCCATATGATCACCATTTTGCAATTGAGGAAATAGTCCAGAGCGGCCGATAATGAGCTTAAAGTCGCAAACAGGAGTGACTTAGCTGAGACTCCACTTCAGACTCTGCTGACTGAAGAGGCTACATTCCTTCTACTACACTTTGCCCTTTTTCACTTCTTAATTACAATGCAAACTTTGAAGATAAAAACTGGCATCTTAGATATTTTCTCAGTATTCTTACAGTGCTTATCACAGTGCTGAGCAAAATGGTGCTTGATGCGTGGGACTAATGGGACTAGTTTTGTACTTTACAAAAATATATGCTTTGTAATTGTAATGTGAATGATTCTTGGATGATGTGAATGTTGACATTACTAAAATGAAAGATCTCATTCTTCTGGTTGGTAATGTTGTTTTACTATATCTAAAAAATCTGCATACTCATTTTTTGAACTCTTTACTCTTGTTTTTCAGGTACTATGAAGCATTTCCACCACTTTCTGAGAAACCAGTTTGCCTGCAAGAAATCATGACTGTGTGGAACAAGTCTAAAGTCTGTTCTTACTCTGGCTCTTCATCATCATCCACAGCCCCACCAGCTAGCACAGATACTTCCTCTCCTAAGGACTGCAACAGTGAAAGTGAAGTCACCAAGGAAAGAAGCAGTGAAGTACCCACCACTGTGCATGAGAAAACCCAGAGCAAAAGCAAAAATGAGAAAGAAAACAAATTTAGTAATGGCACAATTGAAGAAAAGCCTGCTTTGTACAAAAAGCAGATCCGACATAAACCTGAAGGAAAGATTCGCCCTCGCTCATGGTCTTCTGGCTCCAGTGAAGCGGGCTCAAGTTCCAGTGGGAATCAGGGAGAATTAAAAGCATCCATGAAGTATGTTAAAGTAAGACACAAGGCACGAGAGATTCGAAACAAAAAAGGGCGGAATGGGCAAAGCAGGCTTTCATTGAAGCATGGTGAAAAGGCTGAAAGAAACGTTCATACTGGAAGCAGTAGCAGTAGCAGCAGTGGTTCTGTCAAACAGCTGTGCAAGCGGGGTAAGAGACCTTTAAAAGAAATAGGGAGAAAAGATCCTGGGAGCACTGAAGGTAAAGACCTATACATGGAGAACAGAAATGACACAGAATACAAAGAGGAACCCTTGTGGTACACCGAGCCCATTGCTGAATATTTTGTTCCTCTGAGCAGAAAAAGTAAACTAGAGACCACATACCGAAACAGACAAGACACAAGTGATCTGACATCAGAGGCAGTGGAAGAATTGTCTGAATCAGTACATGGTCTTTGTATCAGCAACAATAATCTTCATAAAACATACCTCGCAGCAGGTACTTTCGTTGATGGTCATTTTGTAGAAATGCCTGCAGTTATAAATGAGGATATTGACCTCACTGGGACCTCATTATGTTCTCTACCAGAGGACAATAAATACCTGGATGATATTCATCTTTCAGAATTAACGCACTTCTATGAAGTGGATATTGATCAATCCATGTTGGATCCTGGTGCCTCAGAAACAATGCAAGGAGAAAGTCGGATTTTGAATATGATTCGACAAAAAAGCAAAGAGAACACAGATTTTGAGGCAGAATGTTGCATAGTGTTAGATGGTATGGAGTTGCAAGGGGAACGTGCAATATGGACAGATTCTACCAGCTCTGTGGGTGCTGAGGGCTTATTCCTGCAGGACCTTGGCAATCTGGCTCAGTTTTGGGAGTGCTGTTCATCCAGTTCCGGTGATGCTGATGGGGAGAGTTTTGGAGGAGACTCTCCAGTTAGACTCTCTCCCATCTTGGACAGCACAGTGCTCAATTCACACCTGCTTGCTGGCAATCAAGAGCTCTTTTCAGATATTAATGAAGGATCTGGTGTAAACTCTTGTTTTTCAGTGTTTGAAGTGCAATGCAGTAATTCTGTTTTACCATTTTCTTTTGAAACACTCAACTTGGGAAATGAAAATACAGATTCTAGTGCTAATATGCTTGGGAAAACACAGTCTAGATTGCTAATATGGACCAAAAATAGTGCCTTTGAAGAAAATGAACACTGTTCTAATCTTTCAACAAGAACTTGTAGTCCATGGTCCCATTCAGAAGAAACACGTTCAGACAATGAAACATTAAATATTCAATTTGAGGAATCCACACAGTTTAATGCCGAAGATATTAATTATGTAGTTCCTAGAGTCTCGTCAAATTATGTAGATGAAGAACTTCTAGATTTTTTGCAAGATGAAGCTTGCCAGCAAAACAATAGAACTTTAGGTGAAATTCCTACATTAGTCTTCAAAAAAACATCTAAACTAGAATCTGTCTGTGGTATTCAGCTAGAACAAAAAACAGAAAACAAAAACTTTGAAACTACACAAGTATGTAATGAAAATCCACATGGAGATGGCTACAGCTCAGGGGTTATTAAAGACATTTGGACAAAGATGGCAGACACAAATTCTGTGGCTACAGTAGAAATAGAAAGAACTGATGCCGAGTTGTTTTCGGCAGATGTAAATACCTACTGCTGCTGTCTAGATGCTGAAGCTGAACTGGAGACCCTTCAGGAGCCTGATAAGGTTGTGCGAAGGTCAGAGTACCATCTGTGGGAGGGACAGAAAGAAAGCCTGGAGAAAAGAGCATTTGCTTCTAGTGAGCTATCAAACGTGGATGGTGGTGATTATACAACACCCTCTAAACCCTGGGATGTAGCCCAAGATAAAGAGAACACATTCATTCTTGGAGGAGTTTATGGAGAACTCAAAACCTTTAATAGTGATGGGGAATGGGCAGTCGTACCACCTAGTCACACGAAAGGAAGCCTGTTACAGTGTGCAGCTTCTGATGTAGTGACAATAGCTGGTACCGATGTCTTTATGACCCCAGGAAACAGTTTTGCCCCTGGGCACAGGCAGTTATGGAAACCCTTCGTGTCATTTGAACAGAATGATCAGCCGAAGAGTGGGGAAAATGGATTAAATAAGGGATTTTCTTTTATCTTCCATGAAGACTTACTAGGAGCTTGTGGCAACTTTCAAGTCGAAGATCCTGGACTTGAATACTCATTTTCTTCCTTTGACTTAAGCAATCCATTTTCACAAGTTCTTCATGTAGAATGCTCATTTGAACCTGAAGGGATTGCATCTTTCAGCCCCAGTTTTAAACCGAAATCAATTCTCTGTTCTGATTCAGACAGTGAAGTGTTTCACCCCAGGATATGTGGTGTTGACAGAACACAGTACAGGGCTATTCGGATCTCTCCTAGGACTCACTTTCGCCCAATTTCTGCATCCGAACTGTCCCCAGGAGGAGGAAGCGAGTCAGAATTTGAATCTGAGAAAGATGAAGCAAATATTCCCATTCCTTCTCAAGTTGATGTATTTGAAGATCCGCAGGCAGATCTCAAACCTCTGGAGGAAGATGCAGAGAAAGAAGGCCATTACTATGGAAAATCAGAGCTTGAGTCTGGAAAATTCCTTCCCAGGTTAAAAAAATCTGGGATGGAGAAGAGTGCTCAGACATCACTGGATTCCCAGGAGGAATCAACTGGGATTCTGTCAGTAGGAAAGCAAAATCAGTGTTTGGAATGTAGCATGAATGAGTCCCTGGAAATAGATTTAGAAAGCTCAGAAGCAAATTGTAAAATAATGGCACAATGCGAGGAAGAAATTAATAATTTTTGTGGTTGCAAAGCAGGTTGTCAGTTTCCTGCTTATGAAGATAATCCAGTTTCTTCGGGACAGCTGGAAGAGGTATGTGTCTACATGTTGGTATTTGACAGAAGGATTTGATCAGAGTTTAACCCAAGAACAGCCACATCAGGCAATGAAAGAGCTAAATTATTGGGAAATTAGCTTAAATGTCTTAAAACTTAAATTGTTCTGATTTTACGTGTAAGGACTTAAAACTGATTTGATATAAGTTTGAACTAGGCAATTGGCTTTTTCTGCAGAGAGAAAGCTTTTTAAAAATCACAGGATGTAAGATTCCTATGTGTTGTCTTAATACGCATGTATTACGCTTAAAGCATAAACCTAACATGCACGTGTTCCAACATTCAAAGTTGATGAATCAGGAAGTGGCTGCTATTAAAGTGTAGCAAGCCTGTTTAAGTGACTCTTAGAAGTTGATCACTTTATCAACACTTGTGTTTTACGTATAAAACAAGTTATATCTGTGTGGAATTCTCAAAAATACATTGTGGTACATGTAGAAATTCACCCACAGCCCAAATGCAACACAGTTGCTTCTACAGAACCTATATAGATATATCTTGCTTTATGCAAAGTATATATTCCAGAAGCTGTGTGGATTATATGCTAAGGCTACGGAATGAGGATAATAATACGTTTTGTTAATGAGAGTCATTGTACCCCCTTTACTCTATTGCCAATAAGTGGTTTGAGGTTAAATGGATTGTACCAGAACTGACACTTAAATAACCTGTTGCACAAAAAAAGCATAGCAGTCTGCCTGCTTTTCAATAGTTTTCGAAATATGAGTGTCTGGCCTTTCTCCAGAAACAGCTTATTTAATTTTTTGTTTGTTTGGTTTTGTTTTTGTTTTGTTTTGGGGATGGAGTCTCCCTCTGTCGCCCAGGTTGTAGTGCAGTGGCGTGATCTCAGCTCACTGCGTCCTCCACCTCCTGGCTTCAAGTGATTCTCCTCCCTCAGCCTCCCAAGTAGCTGGGATTAAAGGCACACACCACCATGCTCAGCTAATTATTTATATTGTTAGGGCAGATGGGGTTTCACCATGTTGGCCAGGCTGGTCTCGAACTCCTGACTTCAAGTGATCCACCTGCCTTGGCCTCCCAAAGTGTTGGGATTAAAGTCCTTAGCTACCATGCCCAGCCCAGCTTATTTAAAAAAAAAAGAAAGAAAGAAAGAAAGAGTTGGGGGTATTTAGAAGTTATGTCACCTGTGGCCAGAGAGCGATGAGTATTGCCCTTCCTCCCAATTGTCCTGTATACCCTACCCACCATTGCACATATAAATCCTACTCATACCATGAGACTCATTTCATATGCCACCTCCTTCACTGACACGTTCCCTCATTCCTTCTCTCCCCGGCTCCAGCCCCACTCTGCATCAGAATTAATCTCTCCCCTCTCTTACTTTTCATGCACTTTATGCCTCTTTTTGATTGCATTTTCCATTTCTCATGAGTTATTTCTATCCTGGACGATCAGCTCCTGTGGCCGTGGACCATGCCTTACTCATTTGTCGCATCAGAGTGCCCAGGTGTGGGCTGCTTGCCTGTGATTATAGGAAGCCCCCAAGTGACTTGAGAGTCACTGCTCTAATCAGCTGGCCTAGAGATCCCATAGAGAACAAATTTAATCCCACTGAAACACTGCTAAGAAAAAACCCAATAATGTTGTTAGCCTTGTCTGTTTGTTTATTGCCCCATTTTTCATCCTTAAATATTCCTTTATGTACTTTGTATTTCACCTGGTTCCAGATTGGGAAGAAAGAAAAAGAGGAAAGAAGCAAGATTCTCCATCATACCACTACCATAGTCCTTCGCTTTCTAGTATGTTGATGTATTTATGTGTTATCAGAATTCTGGGTTTCCTTGAAAGGTCTTAGCTGCCAAAAAAAATTCCCAGAGGACATTTTGGGATTGTCTGATAGTTTAGGCGTTGTCGGCACTGCTCTCTGGGCAGCGTTCTGGGCGGCGTTGTTACTGTTTAGAAGCTGGGTTCAAGCTTACTTCATTGGTTAGATCTGAGATACAGAGGACACTGAGAGAGTGACCTGAAGGAACAGTTTGGGGCCAGCCTGGCACTAGAACTTGTATCATTCTGTTCCATCACATTGCTTGGTCAAGGTTGTAAGGTGCTTTTAAGAGGGTGTTCTTTTAACCCTTTTCCTGAGCCAGTCCAGTCTTTTCAGAAAGCAATCTGGGAGGCCTGCTTAAAGATCAGTAGAACCCCATCTATTTGAGACCAAGATGATGGAAATGTAAAATTTTTATACAACTGGTGTCTAAGAGCATGAAAAGAATATTTATTTTTAAAAGTTTAGTTCAGTTCAGCATTTATTGAATACCTGTTTACATGCCTATTGCTAAAGTAGATGTCTTGGATGAGTAAGACTTTGTCCTTGCCCACACAGAATTCAGTAGAATGAAGATGACCAACTTGTAGCATGTTACTCATTTTAATTGAAATAGGTAGTTTATTCATATGGTTCAAATCCAGAAGTTGCAAGTGTATACGTACAAACACAGTGAAAGGCTCCCTCCCCAGCAGCAGCCACTAGTGTGAGTCCTGATGTACTCTCCAAGGACATTTTTTGCACATATAAACAAATAAATATTCACATGTATTTCTTCCTATTTTGTCTTTTTACTGAAATGATGCTTTATTGTAATCACCCTTTCTTTTTTTATTTTCTGCATACTATTCCATTGATTGGATATACCGTAATCTACCTAGTTGGTTCTTTATCTTTTAGGGCATTTGACCAATGCAGTTTTAGGTGATGTAGGTAGAATGGTGGAGGGGAGCACAGAATGCCGTGGGAAACTGCAGGAGAACCCTCCCCGCCTGTGACGGTTGAGGAAGGCTTCTTGAACGTACCTGAGTGTCGGGGATAGAAGGAAGGAGGCCGGGCAATCCAGGCAGAAGGAACAGCAGAAGCAAGGGTAAAGAGATTTGAAACTACTGATGTACGCAGGGTGGCTGTGCACACTTACCTCTCCGTCTGTGGAGGATACACCGTAAGGCTGCGAGCAGCACAGTTGAAGCACAGTGGGCCTTGGTGGCGGTACATATATTTGTGGTGAAAATGTTCTTGTCGTTGCCTTGGTTGCCAGCTTAGTACCAAGCAGCTTGAGGCACAGAAAATAAGCAGCAGGCTTACTTGCTGTCTTCAAGGAATTTCAGTCCACTCAAGAGAGGAGGTCACTGTGCTGTGGAGGTCGGCAGGTCTCGAGGGACAGGAAGGCTGTGATGAGTAGAGGAGGAGTGGAGTCTGGCGTCATCCTGGTGATGTGGCACCTGGCCCATCTATGTTGGGGCTTTTGTCACTACTGTCCTACTGGATGTCCATGAAAACCTTATGCGGTAGGTTACTTTCCCCACTTCTGAAGACATATAGGCTCTAAGAGGTGACACAGCTGCCCCAGATCCCAGTGTGAGGGGCAGGCAAAGCATTTTCCACCAGTCTGCACCTCTGTGAACAAAGGAAAACTTAAACCAGCAGTTCTGTGTCTCTTGTTTGTCTCTCTTGCACTCAGTATCTCTTCATTGACGGTTCATTTCTTCTATTCCAAAGAACAAGATATGTGGAAGGCTTGCTTTTCCTGGTGTGGCCCAAATGAGAGCTGACTGTGGCAGAGGGGCAGGATTCCCAGAGTAAAACTAAAGCCAAACACCTTTCTCTTTACCCAGAGTAGGAGTTTTTTGTGAGAATTTATAAAGCTGTGAAGCTTTTGTTTCCTTCCCTTAACTTCCGCCTTCTAAAGAATTTATGGGTTTTACATGTGTTGCTAAAAACATTTCTGGTTAGGCTTTTTGGATTAAGTTTATGTCTTCTTTTCACTGTTTCATTCATTCATCAAATATTTCTTATGTACCTGCTCAGACAGGTACGACTCTTAGTGTTGGGAATAAGTAACAAAGCTCTTGGCGCAGGTGGATTCACATCTTGGTGCTTGGGGCACTGACAATGAACAGATGAAGTTACACAGTATGTTACAGTATCAGTGCTGTTGGAAAGGAGGAGAGCTGGACGAGGGGAGTTGGGGTTGGGAGTGATTGCAGGAGTTTGCTGGGTTATGGATGGTGTGAGAGCAGGCTTCCTTGCCAAGGTGCAATTTGAGGAAATACTTAAGAGTGTGAGCCAAGAGGACACGTGGCAGGAGAGGGGTTGCAGTGCTGAGGCAGCTGCTGCACCTGCCCGTCCATGACAGTGACACTGATCTGCTTTCAGTTTCCTCCATTCTCTCTTCATTCTTTTCATTCCCAGCTAAACCAGAGGTTGAATTAATACATTAGATAATGTATTAGATGATCATAGCATCATCCAGCCTAGAAGTTACAAATGGCTAAGTGAAGAGATGTCATAACAGGATGCACATTCCTCGAATATGTTTACTGTAGCATAACACAGACAAGTAAGTCCCTGCCATAGGAATTGATGTTCAAATGGAGGATGAAGAAAACAGACCTAAAGTTACGGTAGAAACTGGTGTTCTCTTCACAGTGGTTTCAGCAAGAGACAGAGAAGGAATGGTGCATGAGATAGTCAAAGACTGTTGGCCTGGTGGAAACTTTTCGTCAGGTCAGCAGACACTGAGTGTCTACTTTGTATGGGGCCTTGTACTTGGAGTTGCAAAGATAAAGAAGGTGTGGTCCCGCCTCTTAGGAAGCTTCCATTCTGATTCTGCTGGGATCTAAACTCCTCTTGGTTCATGCTGCCCCTGCTCCCCAGGTGCCTGGACCCTCCATCCTGCTTTCCCTGACCTTTCCCACCCGCCCCCACCATGAACTCACTCACTTTCTTGATTTTAATCCTCAAGAAAAGATGAAAAGATAAGCAGTGTGTATTTAAACGGATCATTCCTGCAGAGCATATTCCCTCTCAAATAAGAACCTGTTAACCTCTAAATCCGTATCTCTTCAACAGCACCTTAAGGAGGTGATGGAGAGAGTTCTGGCTGGGACACCTTCCCTGCTCCCCCTGAGTAGCACTGAGTAATCTCACAGGCCAGGAAAGGCCTTTGAAGAGGTCTTAGAATGCAAGAGTTGCATGCCACGTGCTGTTCGCCACCTTGGAAGGACCGCAGACCTTGCATGGTGCTGCTTTGTTTGCAGGAAGCCGAGCCCTGTTGGTTTCTCTGGCCCTAGCATCTGTTTATCTAATAGCGGTACCAGTTTATATTGTTAGGATAAGCGATAGGAGAAAATAGCAAAGGTTAACTGACAGTACAATTCTCCTTCAGTTTCTAACTTAGGAGTATTTCTGAAAAGGTATGTGAAGTGAAAACAAAAGTTGGAGGAAGTGTTTCCCTTTTAGTTACATAATAAACATATATTACCGAATTGAACAGTTTTAGACCCATAAATAATTAAGTTAAAAGCATAATGAAATCCTATTAGGACATTGATGATCAATTTCTTTCTAAAACACTTCAGATTTTAAACTTGAACACGTAATGAAATGTCTTTTAAACCAATGAAGATGCGTGCAGTTTTCACAGGCCTCTCCGCTGAACAGATGTCTAATGAGAACAAAGAATTAGGGGGTGTGGGAGGTAGAAAGATGCATTGGCCAAGCCACACCGTGGGTGAGCTGGTGGCAGGCTCACCCTCTCAGGCATAGTGAGGAAGACACACAGAAGGGGGTTGCCCTGACTGCCAGACTGCCAGGTACACATGGTGACTGAAGCTGCCACACGTGTTCTGTTGACCACACTACAAGGACTCTCCTTGGTCACTGATGACAGCTGATGTCTGTCTACCTTGGCCACACTGTCCAGGCCTCACTGGCCAAGCAGGTGGTGGGGCCCAGCCAGGACTTGAGAATCTCATGGAGAAAGGATGGAGCCTGGGTTCAGGCTGGGTTCCTCTTCTGGGCCTGGGCAACTTCCAGATGCGAAGGATGTGAGTGAGTCTCTCCTGCTGTCAGGAATCATTCTCTCATCTCATTTGGATGGCTATTTCCTATTTTAAATCTGAATCATAGAATTTGAATTTATAATTTGATTTTAACCTTCGTTTCCTTGTGGTTCACACCTAAGCAAGATAAGAATAATAATTAAATTCTTCCTGTAAGAATTTCTTTTGGGCCAGGTACAGTGGCTCACCCCTGTAATCCCAGCACTTTGGGAGGCTGACGTGGACAGATCACCTCAAGTCACAAGTTCGAGACCAGCCTGGCCAACATGGCAAAACCCTGTCTCTACTAAAAATAACAAAAATTAGCCAGGGGTGGTGGTGCATGCCTGTAATCCCAGTTACTTGGGAGCTAAGGCACGAGAATTGTTTGAACATGGGAGGCTGAAGTTGAAGTGAGCCGAGATCACGCCACTGCACTCCAGCCTGGGTGACAGAGTGAGACTCTGTTTCAAAAAAAAAAAAAAAAAAAGGGAATTTTCTTTGATTCAGTTTCCTCTTTCACTTACTGCTGCCTGAGTATATGAGGGAGAAGAGGGTTCCCCCTGTTCTCCTTAGAGCACCTCATGCCAGTAGAAGCCCAGGGCTGCCCCATTACCTCTCTGCACTTGTGAAATCTAGAAGTTTGCCTTACCTGGGAGCATTTTTTATTACATTAAATTTTGGGCTTGTTAAGAGTTTTTTTGGTTAAGGCTTTCATGTCACTTCCCATATAAGTGCTGCTTTTTTCTCTCTCTCTTTTTGAGATGGAGTCTTGCTCTGTTGCCAGGCTGGAATGCAGTGGCACAATCTCGGCTTACTGCAAACTCTGCCTCCCAGGTTCAAGTGATTCTCCTGCCTCAGCCTCCTGAGTAGCTGGAACTACAGGCACACACCACCAAGCCCAGCTAATTTTTGTGTTTTTTTAGTAGAGACAGCATTTCACCATAAGTGTTATCTTAAGAAACACTTGCTTTATACACTACGAACACACTGGCTTTTAAAATGTACCTTTTTCAGAACAGTATAAAAACTGACCAGTCGGCTGAGCGGGCTCATGCCTGTAATCCCAGCACTTTGGGAGGCCAAGCTGGGCAGATTGCTTGAGCTCTGGAGTTTAAGACCAGCCTGGCCAACATGGTGAAACACCGTTTCTACAAAAAAGTACAAAAAATTAGCCGGGCATGGTGGTGCATGCCTCTAGTCCCAGCTACTCACAAGGCTGAGGTAGGAGGATTACTTGAGCCCTGGAGGTGGAGGTTTTAGTGAGCCCAGATCATGCCACTTCAGCCTGGGTGACAGAGCCAGACCCTATCTCAAAAAGAAAAAACAAAAAACCTCACCAATTTAGAAATCCTGGGTTTATAATCCATAGTTAATAATGCTTGAATTTTTTTCCTCTAACCTGAAAGTTTATAAACTTTTTCTATATTTGGTTTAATCTAAACAGTTCCCTGTATTGAACACTGATATACAAGGAATGAATAGAAACCAAGAAAAACAGACCTGGTGGGAAAAAGCCTTGTACTCTCCTCTTTTTCCTGCATCAGAGTGTGAAGGTAAGGAGACCTCTCTCAGTTCATTTATTTACTCCAATTTCTAATTTATTAATACTTTCCTTTTCTGTGAGTATCAGTCCAAGGAACATGTACTAAGAGGTTTCTGTGTGGGTAGTATTTTGTCATGCACGGGGGGACACAGAGAGGAATGAGAAGTGGACCACAGCCTGATGGAGGGAAAGGCACCACTGAGTCACAGAGGAGGAAGGATTGGCTGCCCTGTGAAAATAGGTGCCTGCTCCTGGGTCACAGCCAGGGGAAAGCACAGGGCCCTGTGGCTCAGCTGGGTCATAGCTGAGGCCAGAGAGACAGACAGGGAAGGAGCTTGTCAGAAGGTTTGGGGGCTTGGCCAAGTTAGGTAGTGTTGAACACACAGGACGGGAACGCCGTTCACAGGATTTCAAGTTGGAAGTTGTCAGGGTGAGGTGGTGTTTAGAACAATTCTAGTAACAGCGTGGAAATGAAATTGAAAAACTGAAGGGCACTGGCCAGGGTTTCAGGCTCTGGCAGTAGTTGGGGAGTCATAGGCTAAAGGCCTGGACTAAGGCAGTAACAGCGGGGACAGAGAAAAGGAAACAGGGCTGAGAGGTTTTGTAGAGGAGTCGAATTACTTTCTGTGAGTAGTTCTGGGTTTCTGGGTAGAGCGGGAGACAGGAGTGGGCACTGATATGGTAAGGAAGATTTTAGTTTAGGGTAGTTTTTGAATGAGCAGTCTATGAGCCTTCCAGGTAGACACCCAGAGCTGTTAAAAAATCCTGACTTGAGGCCGGGCATGGTGGCTCACGCCTGTAATCCCAGCACTTCGGGAGGCCGAGGCGGGTGGATCATGAGGTCAAGAAATCGAGACCATCCTGGCCAACATGGTGAAACCCCGTCTCTACCAAAAATTCAAAAAATTAGCTGGGCATGGTGGTGCGTGCCTGTAATCCCAGCTACTCAGGAGGCTGAGGCAGGAGAATTGCCTGAACCCAGGAGGCGGAGGTTGCAGTGAGCCGAGATCGCGCCTTTGCACTCCAGCCTGGGTAACGAGGGAAACTGTCTCAAAAAAAAAAAAAATCCTGACTTGAAATTTTGAGAGAAGTAGGAACTAAGGATGCAGCCGGAATGCATTAGCTCAGGAAGTTGAGCTTGTCCAGATTGTGGTCTCCTGGGTTTCTGTTGGCTACCACATTTATGTAACAACAGTCTCCTGTCAGAGCCCTGAAAGGGTTATGCAGATCTCTTGTTGATATTTACGGGTTCACGTGTTTGTCATGTCCCCTCAGCTAATTCGTAGTTAGTGTGGAGCCAAGTGACTTCTCTCACCAGCCGCAATGCCCCGCACCCACCTGTGCTGTCCTTGGAAAGCCTCGCTGGCCTTCCCTGGCAGCATAGGCTGTGGCTGATGGGATGGAAGGCCAGGTTGGCCAGCTTGACTCTTTAGGAGTGGAGCCTTTTCTTTTCTTTGGTCTGTAGTCACAGACAGCTTCCCAAGACCCTGCCTTCCTCCTTCTTAGAGCTTCAGCTGGGTCATAAGGAGTGTGCAAGTCTGAGTCTTCACTGTTAGTATCTTTGTTTATTAAAAGCCTGCTGCTGCATTAGCTCATGCCTGGACACCCTTTATGACTTGCAAGGTACTCTCAGGCTTTTCTTTTATGTAATACCCACAAGAAGCTTATGAGTTGTCCCCCTGATTTTTCAGATGTGGAAGCTGAGTCTCAAGCTTAGTACTATAATTTGCCTGAAATCATACAGTTAACTATTAAGCATGGGCTAGAATCCAGGTTGTGACTCTTGTGGTCCAGAATTTTTGCCCTCTACAGCAGCTGAGCTGCCTGCACTTGGTACCAAGATAGATGCCAGGGAAGTGGGAGCACAGACCTATCTTCATGTGTGTCCAGTCTGGTAAACTGGGCAAGTGGAAGACACAGACAGTTAATGGAATGCAGGTGGGGCCACCAGAGCTGTGCCACAGAGGACCTCTCAGGAAAAGCTAGAAGGGAGAGGAGGATGCCACCTAGTGGCAAAGAACCAATTCCTTGCAGTGGCATAGGATGATTTTCAAACACACTATGAGTTCATGGTTCTTTAGTAAAGGGCAATCTTGGCACCCTTAGTCCGGTTTTCTGCCATTAGTTAGTAAAGAATCCAGTTCCAACTCTTACCTGGTTCCTGGTTATCTGTACAGTCTCTTGGTAGATACTGGTGTTTGTACATAATACTTTTCTTTTTACTGTGAAGTGGTATATAGAGAAACTCTCAGTGGATAAACATTGGTAATTATTTCTTTTGAATGACCTTTAACTCACACTGTGAGTGAAATCCCTGCATATTTGCCTTGTAGCATCATGAAGCGTCCTTCTGTAGCTTATGTGGGTTGGGGCATGTAGTCTCGGGAGGTTAGCCAAGAAAACAGATAGTCACTTACCCACTCAGCAGACGTGGCTGTGGACTCCTGATGCTTCTGATGTTGCAGATGATTAGTCACAAGCAGGTGCTGCTCTGAGCCAGGGGCTGACCTGGGAGCTCACAGCATCTCTGGAAAGGAAGAGTAGCATTGTCCACTTTACAGTAAGGCAAGGAGACAGGCTCAGGAGAGGGGCAGCTTGTTCAGGCACCCATGTGATAAAAGTGCCCAGGCTGTTTGCGGTCCGCCACCTGCTGCCCGTGCTGTGCGTTTTTCCGTGCGTCCACGCAGCACTTGGCGTACCTTCTTTGTGTTGGGCACTGTTGTAGGCAAACAGATCGTGTCCCTGTCCTCCTCCTGATCGGGCGCCTTCTCAACAGGGACTTGAGGAAATAGGGCACAGACCATGTGATGTGACAGCTGGGGCTGCCTGCAGGGAGAGGTACCAGGCAGCAGTGGCTTGTGCAGGGGCAGGAATGCATTTGGTATGCCCCAGCATGACTGGCTAAGAGAGGATGGCATGGGATTGTGGCCGGGATGAGGCCAGACAGGCAGCAGGGAGCCAGACCACAGAGGGCCTTGTAGACTGTGTACGTCGGGAGTGCTGTCCCAAACAGCAGTCTCTACAGCTCTCGCCCCTGGATTTTCAGTGCTTTCAAGCCTCAAGTAATGTAAGTGTCTGGATAAGTTTAGCCCTGAAGACAGAGAGTCCTGCAGGGAAGCAGTATAAACAGACAGTGAAGGGCTCAGGATTGAGAGACAAAACCATATTGGAATCCAGGGCCTCTGTCCCCAGCTATTAGGCTTTGGGTGGTGGTGATTGAAACTTTCCGTGCCTCCGTAGTCTGTATGTATAAAAGGAGGCTAAAGGAATGCCTTCATTGTAGGGTAAAGTGCTAGAACAGTGCCTGGTGTGTCATCCTAGCCTGAAACAGGGTCGTGGTCAACTTGAGCATCATAAAAACTATGAACAGCAGGTCAGCATCACCTTTTCCAAATGCCCTGTGGCACAACAAAACTCCCTTTTACATACAGAATTCCTAAAACAGGAAGAGAAAATGAAAGAGTGGGGTGTGGAGATGGACCTGCCTGTCTCTGAGCATATCCTCGTCAAGGAAACCATTGCCCTCCCCACTGTATGCCCCTTAGCCAGTCTTAAGTGGTGACCAAACGGGGTGGGCCATGGAGTGAGTGGGAGCTTGGTGAGGTCAGCCAAGGAAAAGATGCCTCCTTAGGAGGAATGAAGCAAGGATTTCTCCCAGCCTCGGCAGAGGGCACATGGCATCCTTCCCAGCTGCCCTAGGGTGACCATACCTTTAAGCCTATGGCTTTGGTCAGCAGCGGTCACGGGTGCAATGTGTGTGCCAGGCACTGTGCTTGCGGCTTCTTCTCTTTGAATTTGCACAGAAGTGTAGGAGGGAAAATGGTGATGTTCTCATTTTAGAGATGAAGGAACTAGGGCTCAAAGAATTTAAGTAATTTGTCCAAAGTTACATCACAGGTAAACAGCATAAGCTGGAATTGACCAAAGTCTGTCTAATTCCAGAGCTGGGGTTATTCTCATGAACCTCAACTAGTAACTTGGAGTTCTTGGAGCCGTCAGAGAGAACAGAAGGTTGTGGAGAGTCTTCCATGTGGCCAATGCAGCTGTAGTAAGCAGCCCAGCAGGGCCCAGATGGCCTTACCCTTGGCATAGCCTTGCCACCCTGTGCCAAAGTAGAAGGGCACAGCAGCCACTTGTGTCTACCTTGTCCTTTGGGGTTTTGTGCCAGGGGAGGGCATGTCATCTCGTCGAACTACCTTGTGGTAACTATGGCAAGGGATCGGCGAGGTGACCTGGTTTTGAGGAAGTAGACGCTCGAGGGTGTTAAAGGACTTAACGCACTGTGAATGTCAGAGCTGGAGTCCAGAACCCTGGCCAGGTTCCTCCTCCTCCGCACTGTGCCGCTGCCCCTGCCGCATTCCTCATGGAGTTAAGGGGAAGAAGAGGCTGTTCTGGATAAAGACCAGCAGTTCTCAGTGCATTAGAATTGCTTGGGAGCCATTCTGCTTTTCAGAAAGTGCCCAGCCCTTGCCCAGGATAGTTCATTTGGAATCTCTGGCAGGAGTCTAAGCCTCTCTAAAGCCCTCTGCTTCCCCGCCCCCGCCCCGCATGATGAGCACATGCAGCCAGGGTTGAGAACCACTGGGCTCATTGGATTTATTTGATTTCTTCTCATCCCGGTTTCCTTCCCATTTTGTGGGCCATTTGCCTAATGGAATCACTAGCGCCATTTCTTTTCCCTGTTCCATAGGCATCATACATAGTTGAGTATGTTGTTGAGTTGAGGAGGAACACACAAGGACGTGCCCCTGTGGTGTTTCTCCATTGCATTTCCTCCTGTCTGAACTTCCTCTGCTCTCTGTTCTGTGAACATGCTGCAGTGCACCATCTGTCTCCTGCACTCGTTTGTTGTGGACAGCAGGGGCCCTCTTGGTCTCTCCTGTGTTCCCATGGCCAGTCACATTCTAGGTGTGAATATAAGCTTCTCTGCTGAATGTCTCATGGTAGAACAACAGGATGTATGGTTACGCCGGCCTATTTCTTTTTTAACTCACTAAGCTAAGAACTTTTTGTCAGTGTAGCATTTTTTTTCTCCTATGCACCTGCCTGGCTGTGCTTTTAGTGACGACTTAAAATCTCCGAAGGGTTGGGAGACCTAACTGATGGAACTTTTTAGTGAAAAGTGAAACAAGAATGTATGTTTCATAACTGTGTCTTAATGGAATTTCCCCCTTTCCCTCTTTTCCCTTCTCCATTCAAAATGATTAAGAATGTTATACAAATGCCAAGGGAGAGAATGGTATAGAAGAATATCCAGATGTTAAAGAAATACCCAGTAATGAAGAACGTCTGTTAGATTTTAATAGGGTAAGTGGACTGTCCTCCTCCTTATTATTAACTTAAAAACGGCCACTACCTCCACTTGTCACTCTAGTCAAAAACCTGGGAGTCATCTGAGTGGACCCACCTCTCCCAGGAACCAGCCAGGTCTGTGGGTGCAGACTTCCTCTTCTCTGGCCTTTGGTTTGGGTCTGCACCAGCCCCCCTAACCCCCATGACTGTTGACTGACAGTGCTTCCTGAAGAATCCCCAGCCCTCTCCCCAATCCTGGCTCCACTCTCCTGCCAGAGGGCATTCTGTTAAAAATGCAGAGCTGACCCTGTTGCTCCTGGGGTGGGCACTGTTCATTTTTTTGTTTACCTATTAAGTGAGAAACCTAACCTTTTCGTCTTTCAAAGTACACCACGAGGCAGTCTTTCCAGTGTGCTTTTTGCCGCTGTCCTGGCTTCTACAGAACGACCCCGCCCCTCCCGTGTCCTCGCTGCACTCTGTGTACAGCTCTTCTTGTTGCAGCTAGAGCCTTGAGCTGCGCTGGATTTCTGCATGTCTGCCTCTTCCACAAGCCTGTGGGCAGTGTGGAGGCGGGTACAGGGCTTGTGCCTGGTTTAGTCCAGTCTCAGACCCTCCCCAGTTAAGCAGGTTGGCAGGCAAATGAACCTCAGGAAAATTCTTTTTCTTGAGAATGGATTGTCAGTGTATTAGAGTTCTGCAGAGGGACAGAACTAATAGGATAGATATATAAAGGGGAGCTTATTAAATATTAACTCACAGGATCACAAGGTCCCACAATAGGCCATCTGCAAGCTGGGGAGTGAGGAGAGCCAGTCTGAGTCCCCAAACTGAAGAACTTGGAGTTCGATGTTCGAGGGTAGGTACCATCCAGCACAGGAGAAAGATGTAGGCTGCGAGGCTAGGCCCGCCTCACCTTTTCACGTTCTCTGCCTGCTTTTTCTAGCGGAGCTGGCAGCTGATTAGATTGTGCCCACCCAGATTAAGGGTGGGTCTGCCTTTACCAGCCTACTGATTCAAATGTTAATCTCCTTGGGCAACACCCTCCCAGACACACCCAGGATCAATGCTTTGCATCCTTCAACCCAATCAAGCTGACACTCAATATTAACCATCACAAGTCCACCCCTTGTCAACTTGAATCCATACACATCTCCTGAGAATATACATAATCAAATAAAGACAATAATGTCATAATTATACCTAACATAACACAACTATCCTTCATTATTGAAACAAATCAATCCCCAACCCAAATACTATTACATAAAGTGAACAGTACTTAAACGCTGATACGAAGTCAATAAATCGTGTGTCAGCCGGCTGCAGTGACTCATGCCTGTAATCCCAATACTTTGGGAGGCTGAGATGGGCAGATTACCTGAGGTCAGGGGTTCGAGACCAGCCTGGCCAACATGATGAAACCTCGTCACTATTAAAAATACAAAAATTAGCCTGGCGTGGTGTTGCACACCTGTAATCCCAGCTACTCAGGAGGCTGAGGCAGAAGAATCACTTAGACCTGGGAGGCAGAGGTTGCAGTGAGCTGAGATCGGACCACTGCACTCCAGCCTGGGCAACAGAGCAAGACTCCATCTTAAATAAATAAATAAATCTTATGTCACATGATAAAGGAAAAAAATAAAATGAGATTTTTCTTAGTATAAGTTTATACATGCACAAACATGTTTAACAAAAGGAAGGAGGAAATACGACAATTACATTACTCATTTCTTTTTTTTTTTTTTTTTAAATATGGAACGCTTCACGAATTTGCGTGTCATCCTTGCGCAGGGGCCATGCTAATCTACTCTGTATCGTTCCAATTTTAGTATGTGTGCTGCCGAAGCGAGCACAACAGTACTCATTTCTACAGCTGATCATGTGGTCATAGCTAGTGTTGGTGATGACCTTCTCCCACCCATTCTGTATTCCCTTTGCCTTCAGCAGGTACCTCAGCAGGTTTTGGTTTTTTGGTCCCCCCGCCCAGTGGAATGACCCAAACCTTCATTCCTGAAGGGTCTGGGCCACTTGTAGTCCTGTCTGGATTGGGCTGTTGTGGTTTCTCATTGACGTTAATCACAGGGCATGTGATAAAGTTGACACCCAGTATTAACTGTCACAATTAGTGTTCATTCGAGTCCTGTGAGAACTGTCTTCAGTCCCCTGTAGCACTGTCCACATCCCGCTGCTCAGTGACCTGTCCGGCTCCACACATTGAGGAAGATGTTTGAGGCCCCCACCAGCTCTCTCCTCAGTGAATAGTTCACATCATCCTCCCAGCCTCGAACCCCAAACCGAGAAGTTCCTCAGTCCCCCTCTCATCTTCCACACACGGTCCGCCTGCCAGTCCTATTCCGCCTCCCAGCCACATCCTCACACTTCTCTTCGTCCATCATTACCATTGTTCAGACCACTGTCCCTGCTCCCGAATAGCTGCCATGGTCTTTTCATTTTCCTTCCTGCTTCTGCCATCCTTCTCCAGCCGGTTCTCCATGCAGCAGACAGAATGACCTCACCAGCAGTCTCTTGGTTAGTCCTCACAACTACCCTGTGAGCTAGGTGCTGTCGTCACGCCTGCTTTGCAGAATAGGAAACTGAAGCACAAAAAGATCAAGCACCAAGCATCTCGGGTCAAAGAGCCACATGTTAAGTGTGGACCTGAACTCTGAACCTCAGCAGTCCGGCTCTGGGATCCATACTCCTCACCATGATGTTGCTTTGCTATTGCATTTGAGACAGATTCAGACTCCCTGCCATGGCTCTACAGCTCTGTATTTTTGCCCCTACCTGCCTTTGACCTCATCTGCCTCTGCTCTCCCCTTACCAACTGTGTGGCTTTTCTGTGCTCCTGCCTCAGGGTTCTCAACCAGGGACAATGCTGCCATTTGGAAACAGGGTGGGAGTGCCGCTAGTTACTATGCCAGGAGTGAGGTGAGCTTTGGTAATGACTATGACTGGGGAGGAGCTGCCCCTGCATCTAGTGTCCTGGCGTCCAGAGTCGCTGACCATCTGGTGTAGGGGCACAGTCCCACACAGCAGTGTTGGCACCTCTGTATGGCTCTCTTCTCAGCTGAGCAGGTCTCTTCCCAAAAGAACCACCTTCCCAACCACGCCCATCTGTGCGGTGCCACTACGACCCACAGTGTGTTGGTTTGCTCACTCCTCTCCCCAGCGGGCACGGCATGGCCCTTCCACTGCTGGGGTGCCTGTGCCCAGTTCCTGGTGTGTAGCAGGTACTCAGAGACTTTTGAAAATGAAAGAGTTCTTTCTCCTACCCTAACATAACTAACATTTTGTCCAAGTGGCTGAACATGTGGAATTAGGATTTTGGACCCTTAACGAATCAGAGAGGAGAGGCTGTTTTGCTCTCAAACAGTGGTACTCTGCATTTCTGTAACTCTACAGGAAAACACCAATGATATATTTCTTCTCTGCATATAAATAAAGAATATCTCAGCCTTTTCAAAAAAAAAAAAGATCTTTTTGATCTGTTCAAAATTGTTTTAATCTTAGGTGTCTTCTGTTTATGAAGCAAGATGTACAGGAGAGAGAAACTCTGGAGCAAAGTCAGATGGCTTCCGCAGAAAGACGTGCTCCAGCGCCAGCGCCACCTCGGAAGAGACAGGCTCAGAAGGCGGAGGCGAGTGGGTGGGCCCTAGTGAAGAGGAGCTCTTTTCTCGAACTCATCTCTAAACCTGCAAAGTAGTACAAATTACTGTTTAAAAATGATATGTGATGGAAAATTATTCTTCTGTGAGACCTGTTAATCTAAAACAACAACTTAGGTTTCCTCTTCAATTAACTGATTCAGATCGGTAATCATTATCTTTCTCTTCTTGCTTATTTTAGAGTTGAGGACAGCTATCCTGTTAAAGATTTTTTTTTTCCCAGCTGTTAAATTCTTGGCTATTTGAAATAGACTAGATTGTGTTGTCAAATCAAGAATGGGTGTGCATGTGCTTGTCTTAGAAGTATCACTGCTTTTTGCATCTTAACTGCAGTTAATTTTCCTTCTGACTGCAGTTATATCACTATGACCTTATTAGCATTGCAGTGTCAACAACCACTTCTGCTCTTCAGAGACTTCAGCTTTGGAGCATTTAGGCTTCGTTCTCTAAGAACTGGGATATCCATTCTTACCCTGCAGTGGCTTAGTGCCTTTCTGAAGGCGAAAGGGAAGCATGGGTGACTCAGCTGTGGTCTCCATTCAGTCAAATCTCATGTACATTTGAAATAGGAACCACAAGGGTGTGCTTTTAGAGACTTACAAAATACTGTGTTTTCTATCTTAGGATTTTTTTTTTCCCCTAAAGTATCATGGAAGATACTATGGCTTGTGACTTTCTTGCTAACTGAAGAAGCCAAGGATTTGGGGTGTGGGATCGTATGTGAGGCACAGTGGGGTTAAGGGTGCATACTCTTACCTGTATGACTGTTCTCATACTGCAGTTTCATTTCCACCAGAGTCCCGTGCAGGGTTCTTTGTGGTGAGTGTTACATATGCAGTAAGGACCTTAGTTGCATATTGTTATTTTCTGGTGACTTGTGTTGAATTGAAGCCCCCAAAACTTGAAATTGTGAATATTTGACATGCAATAAAGGCCACCTCGTCACCCAGAGAAATCTTGGGCTGCTGCAGCTAGCTGCTCCTTGGCTGTGATGTAGTATAGCTTCAGTCTCATTTTGTGTTTGAGAGAATGTTCTGGGCAAGTTCTGTGTGTGGTGGGTTGGGGTGGGTAGAGTCAGGAGTTTTCCACATCCCTGTGTGGTTGCTGTGCTGATTGTCCTCCATGGGACTGGCTTCCAGCTGTCCTCGGTGAGCCTGGGAGAGCTGGCACATCTTGTGAGTGGACTGCCACTCCATGGGACTGGCTTCCAGCTCTCGTCGGTGAGCCAGGGAGCCGGTGCATCTTGAGTCGTGTCTGGGCATGATGATCCGCTCCTCCAGCTCTCACGGCATTGTGCAGCAGGCTGAAGCCAGGAGGAGCAATATTTGCAAAACCTCAACAGTTTAAATTGTTTTTCTTTTTTTTCCTTTTTAACCAACTCATTATTTGAAAAACAAAAAGCAAAACAAACACCACCACCACCACGTAATCTGTGAAATCAGTGTAGCAAGTCTGGAACATCAGGAATGGCAGGAAAGTCTGATATGGTCTAGACAGCTTCACCAGTAATTTTGGCAGACAGTAAACACACGTTTTATTAGCTGGGAGCTGAACTGGCTGTGGAATCTATGATTTGCTTTGAACATTTAGGTTTTGTTGGCTTTTTCCTAATTGATAACACAGAAAGTACCATCAAAGACTGTGGAGTGGCTGAGGTTGTGCGTGTCCTCACTGAGAGAGACCTGGGGTGCCCGCCGGGTTGATCTTACCACATTAGGGTTTATTTTTATACAAATCTTTTGACACTTTAAGGTGGGTTTGTGTGTGTGTGTGTGTGTATGTGTGTGTGTGTGTGTGTGTGCATGTGTAAGGTTTTATGTTGCTGTTATTTATTTACGAACTTCAGATACGTTTTTATGTATTTTTCATTCTTCTGGAGCTTCCTAAAAATTGATAAGCATCTGCACTGAAATTTAACAGCAAAGGTAAAAAAGGATTGAAAGTTGCAAATTCCTCATATCACTACAGTGAGGATTATTCTAGAAATTGTTGCTTATGCAGCAAAGACCAAATAAATAGATTTCAGACACCACCTTGAGCACAGTTGATTTTGGACAGCTGCTGTTGATGAGGAAAGGGCTCCAGGTGGCACAGGTGCAGACCTCCTCAGACACGGGTGAGGAGACGGCACCTTCCACGGGGGAATGGGACGGATTCGAAGTGAGCAAAGGGGTTCACAAATCGTATATTTATTTGTTTTCATAATTAAGTAGCTGAAGCTCAGAGGCTTCCAGCAACAAAGATGAAAAGTGTGGTTTTTTTTTAGTTTTGTGAATGGATGATCACAAAGAAAGCATCTTTAAAAAGTTGGCAAACGCTGAAACGCACTGTGGTATGAAGCGCATTGCATATCCATAGCACTGAAGTATCAGTTTCCATTCCTGGGCTGAGATTTTTTCCCCGTGGTTGTATTGTTCTGATTTCACGTACACCAGAGTAACTGATTTTTTGTTTTGTTTTGTTTTCTTGTGGAGTTAACACCAAATAAAAATTTTAAAAAAGAGTTTGTTGTTTTTATTTCTCATAGCAAAGATTCTTTTGTAAAGAACTCCGGCTTCCTTTTACTCATGATCATCAGTGGAAGAGCAGTTGCCCAGTTTGCTCTGTTACATTTGTTCTCGATGGAGGTCCTTTAGCTCTCCCTGCAGGCACTGCTGAAAACGTGCAGCGTTGCTAATGAAGACAGTGGCTGGGGCCTGCTGAGAAATGAGTGGGCCCTCCCCATCTCGCCCCCAGCACACATGGGGGCTGCTACCTGAGTCTGCAAAACACAGCATCTTTGTCCATAGATGGTAGACAAAGCTCAATCATTTCGTTTCCTTCTGGGGAAAAAATTAAATATTTATATATGTTAATAGGATTGATATTCATTGTGGGGAAAAAAAATCAGTGTGTTTTTAAAGAAGTATAAGGGAAAAGGAAAACTCATGTACTTAGGTCACTGTGAGACATGGACTGCGAACATTTGTGCAAAGCCCTTTGCAGGCGTCTGAATGGTATATATGAATGCCTATACAGAGAAATTGACATCAGAGTGTACTATACTTGTTCTTCTGTAACATCGGAAACAGGTTTCTACTCAGGTGTCTTCATATCAGTAATTATACATAAAACTACATAATTGTTTTTACAGCTGTATTATGTAGATTTAACAGGTTCCTCATTGAGAATTCTTTTCGGTTGTTCAGCATCTGAATAACGTTTCTATGGACATCTGTAAACATATATGAGGGGACTTTTAAAAGTTCATGGAAAATGGAATTAAAAGAAAAATCAAAAAATATACACTTTATATCTCAACATAAGTTCCATCAAGTTTAAGATGCTTTTGTCAGCCATAATACCATACTACCAACCATTCAGTCTATCCCCGAAGAACTGAGGGTCCTGGAAATGCATCCATGTCAGTGCAGTCTCCACATTGTTAATGAGGAAAAATGGGTGCCCTTGGCAGATTTTTAAGATTAGGAAACGAAAAATCAGCAGGAGCCAAATCAGAACTGTAAGGTGGATGCCTCGTGACTTCCAATCGAAACTCTTGGAAAGTTGCCCTCGTTGGATGGCGCAGGAGCGCTGCCATGGTGGAAAGAACTCTGGGAGACTTTCCCGGGCATTGTGCTGCCAGCTTTGGCTAACTTTGACAAAGCACTTGGAGTAAGCAGGTGTTACCATTCTTTGGTCATCTAGAAAGTCAGCACACACACACGGTGCCTTGAGCATCCCAGGAAACTGTTGTCTGACCTCTGCTTTGGACCCGTCTGCATTTGCTGTGACAACACCCATCCCACCTCTCGGGAGCCAGGGCTGTGATGGCGCTTTGTCTTCAGGATTGTGCTGGTAAAGCCGCGTTCCATCTCCTGTTACTGTTCTCAGAGGGTATGTTTTAGGATCTTTATTTCTCTTGTTTAAAATTTCCCTTGAAAGCTCTGCTCCTGTCTCCAGCTGACCTGGGTGCAGTGGTTTGGCAGCCATTGAGTGGCAAGTCTGCTCGTCATTCATTTTTCAGTCAGATAGTGTAAGACCACCTGAGGTGTCTGTGGTGTTGGCTGTTGTTTCTGCTGTTAATCATTGGTCCTCTTTGATTCAGGCATGAATCAGATTAATTTTTACCTCACAAATTGAGGAGGAGGTCTCATCTTCACCGTTGTCTCGTCTTTCTTAAAACAAGTTACCCGTTGTGAAACCTGTGATTTTGGTTGGGGGGCGGGGGCATTGTCCCCATACGTTTTTTGGTAAGAAATGGATTTTCACATTCTTCCACCCAAGCGTCACCGTAACTTTGATGTCTGTTCTGGCTTCCGTTTTTAGCAGAATTCATGTCGCTCTGCTAGGTGCTCTTTTTAAACACTGTCGTGCTCTTCTTAGCGCCTCAGACTAGATTTTGTCCAGACATGTTATAACAAGTTAGTACAAGTTGATTTTCATGCAAGAAAATTTTGAAATCTGTGCATAGTGCTTTTTTGGAGACAGTCTCCGTCTGTCCCCCAGGCTGGAGTGCAGTGGCATGATCACTGTAACCTCAAACTTCCCTAATAGCTGAGACTAGAAGCACATGCCACCACGCCCAGTTCATTGTTAAACTTTTTTTTTTTTTTTTTTTTTTTTTGAGACGGAGTTTCGCTCTTGTTACCCAGGCTGGAGTGCAATGGCGCGATCTCGGCTCACCACAACCTCCGCCTCCTGGGTTCAGGCAATTCTCCTGCCTCAGCCTCCTGAGTAGCTGGGATTACAGGCACGCGCCACCACGCCCAGCTAATGTTTTGTATTTTTAGTAGAGGCGGGGTTTCACCATGTTGACCAGGATGGTCTCGATCTCTTGACCTCGTGATCCACCCGCCTCGGCCTCCCAAAGTGCTGGGATTACAGGCTTGAGCCACCGTGCCCAGCCGTTTTTAAACTTTTTGTAGGATCAGAGTCTGCCTGTGTTGCCCAGGCTGCTCTCAAATACTTGGCCTCAACCCATCCTTCCCGCCTCAGCCTCCCAAAGCGCTGGGATTATAGGACTGAGCCACTGCCTCTGGCAATAGCACAGGCCACAGCTGGCCCACCACCCGATACCTTTTGTTTTTGAGACGGAATTTCACTCTTGTTGCCCAGGCTGGAGTGCAGTGGTGTGATCTTGGCTCATCCTAACCTCTGCCTCTTAGGTTCAAGTGATTCTCCTGCCTCAGCCTCCTGAGTAGCTGGGATTACAGGCATGTGCCACCATGCCTGGCTAATTTTGTATTTTTAGTAGTGACGGGGTTTCTCCATGTTGGTCAGGCTGGTCTTGAACTCCCAACCTCAGGTGATCCACCCACCTTGGCCTCCCAAAGTGCTGGGATTACACCACCACACCCAGCTCCCAATACCATTTTTAAAGCCCTTTCCCACTAATTTGAAAGAGTGCGGTGGTGTGATCTTGACTCACTGCAGCCTCCATCTCCTGGAGCTCAAGCTATCCTCCCGTCTCAGAAGAGGAAATCTGACATCACAGACTCCACGGAGTGTGATAAACAACCCTGGGGTGTTTTTAGAACAACCCTGGAGTGGAGTGTAAAGGCCTCTCTGCCTGTTTCACTTAAAGTGCTCTGGCCTTGGCCCATGTGACTGCTGCTGCTGCCGCCACTGCCACCCTAGATGCCACCCTGGCAGGTTTGGTATACATGCCATGAGTGGCTATGGCAGTGCCCAGGAGGCCTGCATCTACCAGCAGTCCAGGAACAGAAAGGAAGCTCCTGCCCCTGGTTCCTCTTAAAAGCAGCCAGTCAGATGGCATCACAAGCTGAGCACTGTTGTGAACACAGATTGGGAAATTAGCTGCTGTTTCAGAGCCCAATTCTAGCCTTACGTCACTGTGTGTTTAATTTCATTTTCAGGGACAGTTGCCTTAATTGTCAAGCTGGTACTGACGCTGCCCCCTAACGTTTGGTTGGTGTTGGTATTGTCTGTGCTAATCATCGTTAACGGCCGATACTGAGGGCCCACTGGCTGCCATGCATTCTAAGCACTCTTGAGTGTTAACTAGCCACCCTTTGAGGGAGCTTCAGCTGCCCCATTTTATAGATGAGGAAACTGAGGCACAGTGGGGCATTAGGCACTTGCAGTCTCATACCTGGTGGGTGCTGGAGCCCGGATTCACCTTGGACACTGACTACAGAGTCCATTTAACGCGGAAACCTCCATTGCACAAAATTCCACTAATTGTAAATTATGTATTATTGCTGGGTGCGGTGGCTGATGCCTGTAATTCCAGCACTTTGAGAGGCCAAGGTGGGCATATCACCTGAGGTCAGGAGTTTGAGACCAACCTGGCCAACATGGTGAAACCCCCGTCTCTACTAAAAATACAAAAATTAGCCAGACATAATGGCAGTTGCCTATAATCCCAGCTACTTGGGAGGCTGAGGCAGGAGAATCGCTTGAACCTGGGAGATGGAGGTTTCAGTAAACCAAGATTGCACCATTGCCCTCCAGCCTGGGCAACAAGAGTGAAACTCTGTCTCAAAAAAAAAAAAAAAAAAAAAAAAAAAATTAGCCAGGCATAAAGGTGGGCGCCTATAATCCCAGCTACTAGGGAGGCCGAGGGAGGAGAATCGCTTGAACCCGGGAGGTGGAGGTTGTAGCGATCTCAGATTGCGCCACTGCACTCCAGCCTGGGCAACAGAGCAAGACTCCATCTCAAAAAAACCCCAATTAGGTATTGTCTGGGCACTTGAGGGAGTCCTGCTCTGTGAGCCCTGGTTGTGTACCCTTGGGCGAGTTACTCAGTCGAGCACCTTGGTATCTTTAGATGTAAATGGAGATTGTAATCGGACTGTTAATCCTAAGAGCTGGTTGTAAACATGAAATAGTCCATCTGCATACATGCTAGAGTGCAAACCAGACGTACCTGAGACAGATCTCCATCAACCTAGAATTGTATTTTGCTGAGGTTAAGGACACACCCGAGAGGTCTGTGCCTTCCTCCAAAGATGATTTTGAGGGCTTCAGTCTTTAAAGGGGAAAAGTGGGCTGGGGGAGGGAGACGGAGAGGGTGTGGTCTCATGACTGAATGTTGGGAGAGAAAAGGCGCAGGTAAGGGAGTAGTCAATTATATGCCTGTACTCAGCAAATCCTCACTTTACGTAAGGTACGGTGAACGTAGAGTAGCTGCCTGTGGAGATAGCTGGCTTTTTTTTTTTTTTTTTTTTGACAGGATCTGACGCTTACCCAGGATGAAGTGCAGTGGTGTGATCTTGATCGTGGCTAACTGCAGGCCTCAGCCTCCCAAGTAGCTGGGACCACAGGTGTGCGCCATCACACCTGGCTAATTTTTGTATTTTTTTGTAGAGACGGTTTCACCATGTTGCCCAGGCTGGTCCTGAACTTCTGGGCTCAAGCAATGCTTCCGTTTCGGCCTCTCGAAGTGCTGGGATTACAGGCGTGAGCCACTGTGCCTGGCCTGTCTGGCCTTTTCTCTTAGCTATCTGCTGAGGAACATAAGGAATTGCAGCTTCTTGCGTGACTCCATT